ATATATATATATATATATATATATATATATATATATATATATATACTTTGTATATAATTTCGTTCCATCTCATGTACCACTCGAGATGGTAATGACAGTAAAGTTTACTTGAACTTCAACTTGTACTACTATCCCTACATCAAGGTTTTTCACTAATCGCTGGGGGGTGGGGGGTGGTGGTGGACATGGTCCCAAACCCTTGCGATAAACAAGGGACTACTGTATTCAATTCTTGAAATCTTTAAAATCACTGTAAGTCAGTTATTAATTATTGACTTCACTAGCGCTTCATCAAACCCCATGACACCTGTTCCAGCCATCCAGACACAGGTACTGGACAACACCCCACATCTCAGTGACTGGTATCAACAACATTATGGGTTCAGTGTCTGTATACTTCCATTAACAGTAGCGCAGCAACAGATATTTTTATTTTATTTTTTGTAGGTACATAAATACAAAAAACTACATAAAGAGCTTGGTGAGGAGGTGAGACAAATTATTTTAAATGGATTTATTTTTATTAAGAAACTTTTTTTTTTCACTGCCTGTTTATATCATTTTTGGTTGTCACAGGTTCCTCTGTAATGGAAAGGAAAAGGTCACTCATTGAATATAGATCATTTAGAAAAATGTCTCCTCATATTCATTATATTGTCACGTTTGTATAATATAGATTGTTTATTTCCAGCTCGACTGAGTCTTACCCATATCCTGCTGTCCTGCCTTGCTCATTGTTTTCAAGTTCTGTTGCACCGCAGGGTTTACGCACAGGGTCACAGTCTTCATCCGATCCATCCTCACAGTCATAGTCCCCGTTGCATTCCAGTCTCCTTTTAATGCATGTTTTCAGTTCTGTGCAAAGATACAGGTTAAGTCCGTAACATCCAGAGGGACAAAAGACACGGGTGCACGACAGAGGTTAATTTGTAGAGGAGGCTGCAGTACCTGTACCACATTGGAACTCTGAGTCTGAGCAAGGAAGGGAAATTGGCAGCAGACATACATCAGAAGTTACACAAAACTGCCTGTCACCAATTGATCCCTGGCAGGGGTCACCACCAAACTGGCCAAATACTTCGACACTTCGAGAACGCCTCTGAAAATCACAAGTGAGGAAATTTCTTATAACTCAAAATGCAGTATTTCACAGGGCTGCAACTGTTGGAAACTAGTTGGTGACTGAATTGTATGTGAAAACAGGCAAATGTTCCATTGCACTTTTAATTTGCACGTTTGTGACCAAGAAAGTTTGAACATCACACTTTATTTCTGTGCACAGCTTGCAAAACTGGATTCTAGGCAAATGCACAGTTTTACTGCCCTCCTCTGTCCACAATGTTCCCACTTCAGCTTGTTTTGGTACACGTTGGCAGCCCCCCCCCCCCTCCCCCTTCCCATTTATGATTTATTTATTCTACAGGAATGCACTTTAGAAATAAAGATAGGTGGTTCTGGACAAGTTTTTTTGTTTTAGAAAATGTATTAATACTGTGGTAGTATTTACATTATTGGGTACCACTTTACAATAATGCCCCTCTTATAGATGGCTAATAAATAGTTTATAGATACATTATTAATTCCTCTATAAACACTTTATAAATCATTAATAATTGTTTATTATGCATTAATTAAGGGTGACAGAGACATACCTGACCAGTTTTTGGCCAAATCTGTTCACCTATATATTTCATCTAGAGTTGTTATATTAAACTTTTTAGACTAAGTTATTCTCTCCGTGCATGCGTGGGTTTTCTCCGGGTGCTCCGGTTTCCTCCCACAGGTAACTCTAAATTGTCCTGTTGGATTTAATATTTTATACCTTTTTATAATTCCTATCAAGCACTCAAATGTCATGTCACATAAAGGGTGTGCGTGTCTATCTTCCAAGGTTGAACTATGTTTATAGAAAATGTTTGCTAATTCTAACTAGTTGACCTTTAAATATAATCTCATAGTAGCTAAAGATAATTTTACAAGTTCACATTTGATAAATTACAAGCAATCAAATCAGGCCAGAGAGCAGACTGATTAACATAAATAAAGCTAGAACACAGCTCTTTAATTTAGACAATATAGGTTGACTAAGTAAAATCAAATTAAGAGTATAACCATGATCCAAATTAAAAACACGAACATAAGTTAGATAATATAATTATTCCTAGAAATAAACAACTATTTCAAATCAGTGTTATCACTAAGGTATAATCACGTTAAACAAACAGTGTTAACAGTTTAAACGCAGACACAGAAACTAAGATGATTCTGCCTTAAAAACAATCACCAGGCCTCCAACAGATATTGAATTAACACCCAGGAGGTAGGTAATAATTAATAGTTATTAATTATTACGTATAAACAATTTAGACACGAATCATTTTATATCCCTAAAGTTTAATAGCAAGTTAAACTTTAAACAAAAGCAGATTTCGGTGTACCAAAACTTATCTGAAATATAGACGTCAACGTCCTTGAGGGGGCGGGCTAAGTCGTAACCATAGCGACAGAAGCTGAACCAATCAGGAAGCTAGCCTTCTCAAACGGGGATAAAAGGCCGGAAATGACGCACGCCCACCGAGCATTTTCCGGGAGGCGCACACGAGGCGGTTCGTTCTTAATGCTCCATTTATATGCATATATCTTATTAATGTAATTGTTTGTCTCTGAATATCTGTAACCCATGTTGTGTCAAATAAATCTTTTATACGAAGGGCGACGCCTCCGCCGTTTTGAACACGACGTGGTATTCTATCCACAACAGTCCCTAGGTGTGAGTGAGAGAGTGAATGGTTGTTTGTCTCGTTTGTCTTCATGTGGCCCTGTGATGGACTTGCGACCCGTCCAGGATGCACCCAGCCCCTCGCACAGTGATTGCTGGACATGGGCACCAGCGACCCCCGTGACCCAAAATGGAACAAGCGGGTAAAGATAATGGATGGATGGACTAAGTTATTACCTTGTATGCACAATAAGCATTTGTAAACCTATTTTTTAGGATATAATATTAGTTGTAGATTTTTGTAATGCAATGATAAAGTACAATAATATATGCTAAAGAAATAGGTTTACAAATGTTTATTGTGCTTACAAGGTAGTAACTTAGTCTGAAATGTTTAATATAACAACTCTAGATGAAATATATACAGTAGGTGAACACATTTGGCAAGAAACTGGTCAGTTTTGTCTTTGTCACCCTTAATTATTGTTTAATAAACAGTTTAAAAAAGTTAAATCTGGTCCTCTGGACATTCAAAAAAAACAAAACAAAGCAAATCAACAAAAAAATGTAGAAACGTTCGTCTCTCGTCCGAAAGACTTCCTCAGTTTGAGGTGCTGTATTCAGCTCAGTCTCTTAAATAGCACCTTCTCAGAGTGGATCAACCAGTTTTGCTGCTGACAACCAAAACCAGCTGATCACATGCTCAAGAAGGACCATCAGCCTAACAATGGATCATTAGCACACTGATGGCTGTTTACTATTCACAGAGGGCTGAGTGATACTAGCAATCACAGCATTGTAAGAGGGGGACAATTGAACACGTAGGCCTCCACCCCTGTTTAATGATGGACGATTTCTTTTCACAAAGATGGCCTCCTTTACTCCTCTCTCAAACCATCGTTCCTCTCTGTCCAGGATGTGAACATCTTCATCCCTGAAAGAGTGACCGCTGGCCTGGAGATGAGTGTGGACCGCAGAATCCTGGCCTGATGATGTTGATCTTCTGTGCTGGGCCATCCTTTTGGCCAGTGGCTGTTTAGTTTCCCCGATGTAAGACTGATCACAGCCCTCCTGACACTGAACAGCATACACAACATTACTCTGTTTGTGCCGAGGGACTGGATCTTTGGGATGAACCAGTCTTTGCCGTTAGGATATCCACATTGCTCTAGAGCAGACCTGGGCATTGTACGGCCCCAGGGCCACATGCGGCCCTTTGGTTGACTCTGACCGGCCCCCGTAAGGGGAATTACAAAATACATATGTAAACAAATGAAGTTAACCAAATCCAGATATAGATCCTCTCTCACTGATGATGTCAGCTTTGCTTCACATCTCCACCTCAGACCTTGAACCTGACTTTAACGTTTCCGTTAAAGCCCAACAGAGACTAGACTTCTCTCACTAAACAAGAAAAAAGAACTGAAAAACACCAAATGAGATGTTTAGACTACAAATGTAGGCACGTAAAGAACCGGGACTAGAAATCACAGTTCAGTGATGATCACTATTATATGATGTTTCATAATATTTGGAGTACAAAGACAATATTGTGATATATTTAGAAAGCTAAGAACTTTTTCCAGCAGTATATAAAACTCAAAATGAGTTTTGGGGTGAATGTGACTGAAAATGATCACTAATATAACGTCACAAATGGTAAAAATGTTAACAGTTTACCATTGTACTGGGAAATTTAATTGAATAAATGACATTTTTTTAAGGAAACCTCACTTTTTCGTTGCTTAATCATAACAAATATTCTTACCAGCTTGTTAAAACAGTGCTATGTACTGTTTTTAATAATGAAATACTATTATGCAGTATTGAGTTAACTTGAAATCAGGTCTCTCTTGTAAATGAGTCCTAGAGGCTCAATGGGATTTACCTGTCTAAATAAAGGTTGAATGAAAAAGTGAAATGAAAATTCTTCTTTCTTCCTCTTCCTTCGGCTTTTCCCTCTTCAGGGGTCGCCACAGCGAGTCATCCTCCTCCACCTCACTCTGTCCTCTGCATCCTCTGTCCTCACTCAAACTACCTTCACGTCCTCGCTGACTGCATCCATATATCTCCCCGTTGTCTTTTTCCTGGCAGCTGCATTTCTAACATCCTTCTACCAATATACCCATGGTCCCTCCTCTTGACATGTCCAAACAATTTCAGTCTGGCCTCCCTAACTTTATCTCCTAATTGTTCAACCTGTGCTGTACCTCTGATGATCTCATTCCTAATCTTATCCAGCGTTGTCACTCCTAAGTAAAACCTTAGCATCTTCATTTCTGCCACTTCCAGTTCTGTCTCCTGTCTTTTTGCCAATGCCACTGTCTGCAGACCATACAATATCGCTGGTCTCACAACTGTCTTGTAAACGTTTCCTTTGACCTTTGCTGACACCTTTTTGTCACAAATCACTCCTGAAACTTTTCTCCATCCACTCCATCCTGCCTGGACTTTCTTTTTCACTTCTTTACCACATTTTCCTGGACAGTGAACCCCAAGTACTTGAAGTCCTGCACCTTTGTGACCTCTGCTCCTTTTAGCCTCACTGTTTCTCCTGCCTCCCTCTCATTCACACACATGTACTTTGTCTTACTATGGCTGACTTTCATTCTTCTTCTTTCAAGTGCATACCTCCACCTCTCCAAGATCTCTTCCACCTGTTCCATGCTCTCACCACAGATCACAATGTCATCTGCAAACATCATAGTCCATGGGGATTCTTGCTTGACCTCATCAGTTAGTCGGTCCATCACCAGCGCAAACAAGAAGGGGCTCAGAGCCGATCCTTGATGAACTCCCACCTCCACCTTGAAGCTATCTGTCACTCCTACAGCACATCTCACCACTGTCCTGCTGGCCTCATGCATGTCCTGTACCAGTCTAACATACTTTTCTGCCACTCCAGATTTCCTCATGCAATACCACACCTCCTCTCTTGGCACTCTGTCATATGCTTTTTCTAAATCCACAAAGACACAGTGGAGTTCTTTCTGACCCTCTCTGTACTTCTCCATCAGCATTCTCAAAGCAAAGATGGCATCTGTGGTGCTCTTTCTTGGCATGAAACCATGCTGCTGCTCACCTCTCGTCTAAGTCTTGCTTCCACAACTCTCTCCCAGATCTTCATCGTGTGGCTCATCAACTTAATTCCCCTGTAGTTGCTACAACTCTGTACATCACCATTGTTCTTAAAAATGGACACAGCACACTTCTTCTCCATTTCTCAGGCATTTTCTCACCCTCATATATGCCGTTGAATATTTGGGTCAAAAACCTCACTGCCATCTCTCCAAGACATTTCCAAACCTCCACCGGTATGCCATCAGGTCCTACTGCCTTCCCCTTCTTCATTCTTTTCAGAGCTTTCCAGACTTCACCCT